TCTACTGAATTGTCTAAATGCAACCTATGGCTTTCTTCCTGACTATTGTCCAGGTAAATATCAAATCACAGTTCCTCTCTATCCTCTGCATTAGAACAGGGGAGGTGGACTATAAACAAAAATTGTTCACTTGCTTGTCAATGTTTCTGACTAATTGCTAACCCTAATCACTGGTACATAAACATCTGACATCTCTTAAATGCCTTTATCAGACGCTTTACTACAAGCCAGATGATATCTCTTTAGAATCTTCTCAAATTATTTTTGAGGAGATGTAACCATCTACAAAATAAGTACCTTTACTTGATAAAGATATATTATTTCCATAGTCTCCTAGCACATTCCTAGTGCTCTATCTGAATAAGTATCAGAACTACAGCAAGTCCATTAACTGATTCCTTTACTGACTGGTTCAGCAAATTAATCTGAACTCTGTGCTGCAGTAAGCTCAAATTTCACAAATATTTTCTTACTTGCCTTTTATCAGTTACTGCATTACATCCTCACTGATTTTCAAGTCCCTCATTTCCAGTGTTCTTTTAAATAAATTTCTACCATTTCAGTTATCAATCTCACTTCAGTGTTCCTATATTAAATAGGCCTTTTGTATTCCTTTCCTCCTGGATATGTTTGTGAAAGCTCTTCTTTCCTTATCCTTCTGGCTGTTGTTAATTTACTGTTGTTGATGCCCTCAGCTTTACTCTCAGAGGCTTAAATCTAGTCAGTTGATTATTTGCAGTCCATCTTCCTCCATTCCATGTAATGCTACTGTCCGCTGCATATAGTGAAACTACAGAGCACGTGGCTACTATGATGCTTAGCTTTTAAGACAAAATTGTAATGCTTTCTGAGGCTCATATTTTTGAGATCTCCCAGTGCTGCTAGTATCACCTGAAGGAAGCAAGGCAGAGAAAATTCTATTTGTTAGATACTGGGTTGCCTCCACTGCTGGGGCAGCGGAGGGTTTTTCTCCTGTATACAGCCAGTCTCAAGTGCTGCTGTTTGAGGATTAATCCATGTTCTCTTGGAAACCAAAACTTCAGATCATTCCTCAAATTAGTTGTTTATACCACACTGCAGGAATTTCAGCGACTCATAAACCCTGTTATTTCAAAGTAAGGGAAGTACTTGAAAATGCCATGTAGAGCTTGAGTGTTCTAGCCTATACAACAGGCCAAGTTCTTCTGCTATTGAAGACATGTTAAACCTCTTTGCTTAGATGTTCTCTTCATGTTTCCTGTTCACAAACCAGGTACAGTAAGTGAGACCTGTGAGTTTGCTGTCACCCCTATATGTGTTTTTATATGACAGATCATAATATTATGACTTTCTGGAGAGTAGCCATATACCAAAGAAATGCAGTTTCAAAAAGAAATAGTGAAGAAAAATTAAAGGATTGTAGCTAGAAGGAACATAATATTTAGTCATCTTTGTACTTACAATCAAATTTGACATCAAGTATACCAAAAGCAAAACAGGATGAAGAGCAAAAAAAAGTTAAATACAGTGCAAATGCTGGGAAAGATTGCTTTGATCTACTGACAAATTGTTGCTTATTTTCTGCACTTTAGTAAGCTCACTAGAGCAATACTATCTCTTTCTGTTCTATGCTATCCTTATCTCTACTTCTGCAGCCAAATAACACAGCTTGCCTTTTGCTACATTAAGTCATATCACACTGCTCTCTACCATCTTTTTAGATGCTCAGAAGCTCATACGGGATGAAACACCAAGTCTTACTATCTTTGTAATAGTGGATTTATTTGTCTTTGAATCACAGAATTGTCTAGGTTGGAAAACGATGAAATTGAAAATGACCTTGAAGATCATCCAGTCCAACAATCAACCCAACATTAACAGTTCCCAAGTACACTGTATCCCTCAGTGCTCTGTCAATGTGCTCTTAAACACCTCCAGGGATGGGGACTCCACCACCTCCCTGGGCAGCCCATTCCAACACCTAACAACCCATTCTGGATAGAAATGCTTCCTAATATGCAGTCTAAACCTTCCCTGGAGCAATTTGAGGCCATTCCCTCTTGTCCTGTTGCTTATGACTTGGTTAAAGAGACTCATCCCCAGCTCTCTGCATCCTCCCTTCAGGTAGCTGTAGAGGGCGATGAGGTCTCCCCTCAGCCTCCTCTTCTCCAGACTAAACACCCCCAGTTCCCTCAGCCGCTCCCCGTACGACCTGTGCTCCAGACCCTGCACCAGCTCCGTTGCCCTTCTCTGGACACGCTCGAGTCATTCAATGTCCTTTTTGTAGTGAGGGGCCCAAAACTGAACACAGGAATCGAGGGGCGGCCTCACCAGTGCCGAGTACAGGGGTCAGATCCCTTCCCTGTCCCTGCTGGCCACGCTATTGCTGACACAAGCCAGGATGCCATTGGCCTTCTTGGCCACCTGGGCACACTGCTGGCTCCTGTTCAGCTGGCTGTCAATCACCTCCCCCAGGTCCCTCTCTGACTGGCAGCTCTCCAGCCACTTCTCCCCAAGCCTGTAGCGCTGCTGGGGGTTGTTGTGGCCCAAGGGCAGCCCCCGGCATTTGGCCTTATGGAAACTCCTCCAGTTGGCCTCAGCCCATGGCTCCAGCCTGTCCAGGTCTCTCTGCAGAGCCTCCCTACCCTCGAGCAGATGACACCGAGTTGGGTGGGAGTGTTGATCTGCTCGAGGGCAGGGAGGCTCTGCAGAGAGACCTGG